TATGCATACTAAGGGAATTAAGCCCAATCCATTCATTTTTACTAGTGTTCTTGCAGCTTTCACAACTAAGTGCATGGAAGTTCATAGCCAGGTCATAAAATTTGGTTTTGAGTCAACAACATTTGTGGGTAATTCTTTGATATATATGTATTCTAAGTTAGGACTAATCAAAGATGCTAGTGCAGTGTTTGAGGATATGAAGAACCATGATGCATTTTCTTGGAATGGTATTATTACAGGTGTAATCACCATGAGCTCTGGTCCGTTGGTCTAGTCTTTGAAGGTTCGAAGAGGACAATAGGGAAGAGGGAAGGTGAGGGAGAATAGTGGTTGTAGAGGATGGTGGGAGAAGAGCAGAGAAGGGAGTGTGAGAGAGGGAGAGATAGAATGAGAGAGAAAGAGACTCTAGGGATAGTGTTTGACCTGGGGGAGAGTTGCTCTCCCTTTATATAAATAGGATCCTTAGGCTATTAGGAAAGGAGATCTTTATCCTCATGTTAGCTATCAAGTGAACTCCACTAAAGTTTTGCCACGTGTCTAATGAGACTCTAGGGATAGAGTTTCATTTCCCTAAGGATTCTCAAATAGCATGTGTCGAATACACCCCTTCATGGGTTTTCTTGTAGAAACATGTCGAGACTTTTGATCGGCTAGTGCGTTTGGACGTCTTTGTAAGTAATCTTTAAAGCTTTTTGTCGTGGCTTACCACGTTTGTGTAGAGCATGAGTTGCTTACAAACGTATATTGTTGACTTTGGCTTTGTTTATCATTCATCATGTCATGAGCTGCCACTCTATGCTCATCACAGGATGTTGGTAGTGCACTGAGTTTGTCACAAAGTTGTAATATCATTCTGGACCCATCACTGGTCTCGTATTGCTCACTATGCTCATTGTAGGTCCCGGAAAGCATTTCATGTTCATCGCAAGTGTAGGATGGCTTTTTGTGCTCATCGCAAGTGTGTGAGCCTTACATTACTTTAATAAAGTGTTGTTGTGCCATTACAGAAGTGTCCTAGTTGGGATTTCTCCGTATGTTTTTCTTTTAACATCTTCATCGTAGTCTGAAGATAGTAAATTACATGTACTTACAATAGGATTTATGTTGAATGGGTTTGAAATAGAAGCATTAGAATTCTTTTATAAGATGAGAATTACAGGTTGAAGCTAACCCAATTGATCTTTGTTACAGTTATGAAGTTGTGTGCTAACATTAAAAAATTGGGTTTTGCAAAACAACTCCATTGTCGGGTTTGGATTTGATCTTAACATTACAAAATCACTTATGGTTGCTTATAGTAAGTGTGGTGAAATAAATGGTGCATTACATTTATTCTCTACAATGTATGGTGTTCACAATGTGGTATCATGGACAACCATGATTTGTGGGTATTTGGAAAATGGAGATACCAAGAAAGCAACGGATCTCTTTTGCAAAATGAGGAGAGAAGGTGTTAAAGTGGTGATGTTTCATAGCATGGTGTCATAACTATGAAGATAAACGAACATGGTGTCATAGCATGTTGAGTGAATTTGGAAATCAAAACAAGCATATAATTGAAGAGAAAACAAAAAACGAGTGTGCAGTTTAGGGAGCTTTTCTTCAAAAACAGGTAAATGCAATATTTTACAACTTCCTTGGAATACTTTTAAACAACATAAAAAGAGCAAAAAAGATTCTCAACGAATAGAAATCTTATATTTTAAGGAAGTTGGGCAATTAAGGGCATTTCAATCATTAAAATATGCTTAATTAGGCTAACTCACCATGTAGGGGCAATTTGGTCAATAAAATTAAATTTATGCTGACATGTAGGGGTGGATTTGAGCCGAGCCAAGCCGAATACTTAACTATTCGAGCTCTGCTCGCTGAAACTCTGTTAGACTCGAGTTCGATTGAAGCTAAAGATTTGAGCTCAAGCTCGATTATTTATTATTATACATATAAAAAATAAAAAGTCTACATATAAAAATGTTTTTATTTTACATACAAAAAATAAGAATTATAAAAATTATTTACTATTATACATAAAAAATAAAAATATTATATATAAAATATTATTATATGTATATGTATGTATGTATCTATATAATAAATTTTTATTTATTTATTATACTAGGCTCATGAGCCTCACAAGTTGAACTTCACTGGGCTTGAAACTCGGTTTAAATCATGTTGAACTTGAATAGCTCTCGTCTCGTGGCCACCCCTACTGACATGGAAAAGTCATATACGTTGCCTTACCCCCCTAAATCATCTTACGGTAAACCTAGACAAAGCAATTGACACTTGTATGAGTGGGCATTTGATCCGGTATAGAAGTTTTTATTTTTTTTACTAGTATGATGGTATCAACTGAGCAACAATAGAAAAATAAAAAAACATAAGTTTGATTTTCATAAACTTGCTATGGAAACAAATGCCACCTATTAAACTGAGTTGGCTTTGTTGAATGCTTTGTTTGTAGTGCACATTGAAATTAAATGCAAAATTTAGACCTTGTTAAGGATTGCATGCAATTATTATGATTTTCATACGTCCTTAAGCTGCATTTGTTTGTGGAGTAAACTTTGGACCACTGCGATATTGCATTATTGTCCGGTTTTGCAAGTGTTTGGTATAAATGTTAATGTCTTGTAAATCAGTGTAAAACTCCATTCATGTCAATTTTTTCCCTTGAAAATCAGTGGAAAGTTTTACATTGATAAAATCGATATAAAATTTTACCTTTTTCTCCATCCAAGTAAAAACTTGTTTAATTTCCTCTATTCTTCCCATCGGATATGATACAATGGTCACATTGCATCTACCTTCCCTATTGTCGGTGACAAAGGTAAGAAAAATGCCCAATTCCGATTTAGTGTGCTCTCACTCTCTCTGTCCACCTTTCTTTCTCTTTCTCTTTCTCTTTCTCCTTCTCTCTCTCTCTCTTCTTTGTGGAAATAGACACAAACATGGAGAGACTGAGCTCAGGTGATCTAATTTATTCATCCTACGAGGAAACCATTTCAATTCACAAAACGGTGGATCTCACTTCATAGATTTAATGATGGATTTCAGTTCACATCTTCCGCCATGCCCAATATGGACCTCTTTTGCATAGTTGGTTACCAAACAAAGTGGATGCAAAGAATTTGGCTTCAGTCAGGGCAAAGCCTGCTCAGGCAACCTTTACTGCTTTGCATTGAGAATATCTTCCTACTTGTGTGCTTTATTTCATGAGGAGATCTTCCCAATGTAAGGTTACAAAATGCTATTAAAACAGTGTGAGCACAGGTTTACCCTAATAGAAGCCAATCTCGGATGCAAATGGGTCCGATAATCTGATCCCCATTTGCATTCACCTAAAGTACATATTTACATTTATACCTTAAACAACCACAGCTTTATAAGTAAAATTGTATATATTCTCTCACTTTTATTATAAAATTTACACTACCTTTCTAGTTTTCCATACGACCCTACCTCTCAATTCTCTCACATATAGTGGATATTATATAATTATTTTAGTACTTCTCCGAAGGAGACAACATTTGTCTCATATAGAGTGTAATCTTTACTTTTAATTTTACTATACAAAACAACTTAAACAAAAAAGAAGAAACCAAAATTTGCACCTAGACAATTGAGCATGGAGCTAAATCTTTGATTGGGGTAAGGAAAAAGGAATCATTGACGCATGGAGCTATCTTTTCTTAATTCTCAGTAACATATTAGTTATTTCATCTATAAACAAAAAAAAAAAACTTGACGCATGGAGCTGATTAATGCTTTTTTGTTATTGCGACACCATGAACTAGATAGTAAGATGGAGGCTAGAAAAAACGAGGTGATTCTGGCAGTGTTTGGCATCGATGCCGTTGTTACAAAAAACGGTAATACATCTGTGTTATGTTGGAAAAATCGGTGTTTTAGAAAATGATAATATGTTTGGTATTGTTTTTATATAAAAAACGATATTCTAAACCACACCATGAAAATCGAGAAGGTGTGGTATTGAGAAACGTGAAATTTGACATTTTTTTAATTTGAGGCTCGTTTCTATCAATAAAAATATGATGTGATAATGATATGGACTTCCTATAATAGATACTAGTGCTGAAAATAGATATAAAACACTGGTGCTAAACAAAGGTGCTGCTATTGCACCAAAAAACGTTCTACACAACAATGTTTCCAACAAAAAAAAATACCGTTTGCTTCCAACCCACGCATATACAACACCGTTTCCGTTTTCTCATAAAACGGTGCTGTATATATACTCTCTGGTTCCATGATAAGTCTGGTCTGGTCTGATCTCTCTCCATGCCAAACATATATACTGCACCGTTTCCATGATACCATGATTCCAACGTGAATCATCGGGACACTGTCTTGTTCTTGTCTCTATCCATTCACTACTGTCAAGATGTCTCGTCCCGATTCGCCTTTCCTCCTCGCCTCCTTGTCTCATTCGCTTGTTTTTCTGCGCGTTTCTCTCATAAATTGCCACCTGTTACTCTTATCAATATAATAATGTTTTACGTGGGTGCTGAGCTGGCCCCCAAAATCCTATTTGTTTTTTGTCCCTCCTTTTGTTATTCTTATTTGGCTTCTATTGACGCGCCACGGAGGCAGTACTACTGCTACTACTACCGGTGAGTGGTGATTCCTTCCCGGTTTACCCTTTCCTCTGCCGATTAATCGTTCAATTCACCTTTGACAGGTAGATGAGGCTCACCTACACATTTGTCATTACTAAGAAACCGGTGGGTGTTATAGTAAATTACGTACCTCAGATAATAAATCTATGGTATTTAATATTTATCGACGACGGATGTCAGGCCACGTGAACGGCGGGTAGAGATCGAGTCCAAATTTGGGTTTGCCGCGCTTTGGGTCAAACCGAGCCAAAAAGATTCGACTCGACGCCTATTCATTGTTCCGAACCTTAGCTTCGGTACATCCGAATCACGTCTTTATTCACACTTCCAATTTCCAAACCCGTTTTTTAATTGCTTAATCTGCTCCGTTTGCGTCGCAACTACTCTCAGTAATAAATTGTCTGCTGAGAACGAAAGCTCTGCATATGATGTGGACGAACGCAAGAATCACAGTTTTTCTGTTCTAGGTTTTCGGATCTCGGACGACTGATTGATTGACGAAGTAATTTCTGGTTTTGAGTATTTTTGGATCTATAACGACCATATCATCCATATACTGTGGAGCCGATTTTCTGTGCATCTCTAACGATAAAGAAGTTTGCATTTCTCTTATTTGCTCGAGAAATAAAGCTGATTAGGCGTTTGAGTTCAACTTCTCTCAACGAAGATTCGAAGGAACTTAAGCTCTGTTCAGGGGATGCATTGAAGACGGTCAGAAAAACGCAGTTTAAAGGGACTCAATCTAGAGGAATTTGGAGCTTCTTCTGATTAGTATTCGGACCTCACACCTGAAGTCGGAGAGAAAAGAAAAGAGGCGTTTTTATTGTTTAAGCCAAGGTACGTCCTTGAACAGTACAAGTAATTTGATTTTAGTCTTTCCTGTTTGAAGGCCGCAGAGTTCTAGTTGACGATTCGGTAACTCAAATCAGGATCATCTTAATATTTCATTGGGAAATTGATTACTTTTAGGAATTCTTTTTTTTTTCTTGAAAATTAAGTTCTCTGTCTTTATATTTCATTTTTTTCCTCCGTAGACCGGTCTTTTAATTGTACGTTTTTTCCGGCGTAAATATCCAAGTTTCATGCATTCTCGCCGCTTTGGACCTGTCTTTTTCGTGGTAAAAGACGTCTTTCTCGTGACCTCGCTTAATGTAAAAGATTTTCTTCTCAGATAAATAAAATAACAACGAAGTTGTGGTTGAATTCTGCTCGAGACATCCTTTGACAACACCGTTTTGTGACTCAACTAACGAGAAAATCAAATTATTTCTGTTATTCTTTTGGATTTACGTTGTTCTAAGCTATAAGTTGTATTGGTTTACTCTCTTAAAACACGATTTTGGTTCTTAGCCAGAAAAAAAGGAAAGAAAAATAGAAAATATTAACGAACAAAACAGAAGTATCGCTCTGCTTCTCAAAATTTACGGTTTATTAGGTCTTTTCAAAATAAATGCAGTACACGGTTTCGGCGTTGATGCGAATGCTTTTCAATGCACCAGGCCAGTAAAGATCGATAGTTAGGTTTTAAACAAAGCGGGAACACGATTGGAGTATCCGCCCAGCGCGTGTATGTTGGGAGGGTACCTAAGCCTAAGGTCGAGGACAGAGTTGCAGTAGCGGAAGGAAACTCTTTTCAAAATAAATGCAGTACACGGTTTCGGCGTTGATGCGAATGCTTTTCAATGCACCAGGCCAGTAAAGATCGATAGTTAGGTTTTAAACAAAGCGGGAACACGATTGGAGTATCCTCCCAGCGCGTGTATGTTGGGAGGGTACCTAAGCCTAAGGTCGAGGACAGAGTTGCAGTAGCGGAAGGAAACTCTTTTAACTTAGTAATCCAGATTAGTTATTTTGAGGGTTTCTCATGGTGATATGATGTCGGAGACATTGGACAAGCCCTCGTTGCCTGCACGAGAATTGGATCCTCTGTTGAAGGATCTCGACGAGAAGAAGCAGAGTTTCAGGAGGAACGTTGTTTCTTTGGCTGCTGAGTTGAAGGATGTTCGGAGTCGGCTTGCTTCACAAGAAGAGTCTTTCGCACGAGAAACCCTGTCGAGACGGGTACATGAGCTGAATCCACCTCCCTTGTTTTTTAGTTTAATTTCCATCGTTTTTTGGGACCCAGTTTGCGTTTCAATACGTGTGTATTCAGTGGGATTAGGGTTTCGCAGGTGGCAGAAACAAACGCGAGGAGAATGGAGGAGGAGATATTTCGGTTGCAGAAAAGCTTGGAAGAGAGGGATGGGCAGCTTCAGGAATCGACCTCTACAGCACAGCAGGTGTGACTGATTGAAGTTTTTGGTTTTATCTATTTAATTTCTTTTTTCATTCGTAGGAATCTGTTTTTTCCTGTAAAAGTATTGGTATTTATTAATCGGTTTTGATATCTTATCCATGTTTGATCTCGTTTGCTGAAGGTTTCTTGCGCCACTTCGTTGTTCCTTTTTGGAACATAGTGCCTAGTTATTGAACCCACGAAAGCCTTTTCTCATCTTTTTGTTTAGTTTTGCTTTTGTTCTTTTCTAGCTATGACTTCTTAGGAAAAGTACTAAATTATTGTTGCTTTTCTATTTGGTTTCCTTTGGTTTAAATAATATACCAGCAGAAGAAATTTCTGTTAACAAAACTAGAATTGTCGAAAAAACAATATGTTAACTAATCAATTCTTGTTTTATTGCTTGAAAGCGTCTACTTTTATCTGTTCAAATTCTGATTGCGATTTTTAAGAAATACGATTGTCATTGCTTCCCTTTTGTTGCTGAAATTGCAGCAGCAGTTGGAACAAATATGAAGAAGAGTGAAACCAGAGATGGTACATTTTGGACATAAAATGTTAATAGAACAAAAGTAAAAATTATAAGGGTTTAAAGCAAACCAACGGGGGGGGGGAGAGTTGGCAACGAAAATTTTAATATAAAAAATCATGAATCCCAAGGCAATTCCTTAGACTCCATAGTAACCATCTTTCACTTGTAATTATCTAAGGTAGTTTTTTACTAAAAAAATATCTAAGGTAGTTAAGGTTTTGAAGCTTTCAAATGTTCAAGACAGTACACACTATGTGTATTGATTGAACCCCTAGCAGATAGCCAGATAGGAAAATAATAAGAAGAAACTAATATAAACTCCTACTCCCACAAAATAAATAGTTTAGCTTAACAATGTTTATTTAATGTAAAAAATAAAAAACATCAAAATATTTCATAGTACCATGTACAAAATAGCTAGGCATTTAAGCATTATGTTATAAGTGTGGTAACAGGAGGTTGCTGCTACTATGATGTTGAGGTGCTTTAGTGTCATTATCTCAGCATGCCAGCTTCCGTGTTCAAGTGTTCATCCTTATTTTAGAGAGTTTCACTAGATCGATAATGCAATTTTAAAATATCATGCTATCATTCCCAGTATTTTAGGTGGTCATGTATATAACTTTGCTCTCTGCTTGCTATATTTGTGGACAAAACTGGGCTTTTTGAGAGATTGTGTGTTGGTGGTTCTCCTTTTTGTTTTGCACAAAACTCTGGAAGCTTGCAATCTATTCTAATTTGGCACATTATTATATATAAAGGCTCCTATTAGTCCAAATATTTGGAAAGAATTTGGTCTTTGTGAATGGAGTGTCTTTCCATAAAGGATAACAATTGTAATTATTGGTTTCATTTTATTGTGCATTAAATATGCTGCATCCTAATGGCATTATTCTTATGAAGTGCAGTACCTCAAGGAGTTGGATGATCTAAGATTGCATCTATCAACCACTCAAGCAACTGCAGATGCAAGTGCTGCATCAGCTCAATCAGCCCAGTTACAGTGTTTGGCCTTATTAAAAGAATTAGATGTCAAAAATAGTTCACTGAAAGAACACGAGGGCCGCGTCAATAGGCTAGGAGAACAGCTAGATCTTCTGCAAAAGGAACTTCATGCACGGGAGGCTTCTCAGAAGCAGCTGAAGGATGAAGTTTTGAGAATTGAGGAGGAGATTATGCAAGCAATCACCAAAGCTAGAGCTAACAAGGATTCTGAACTGAGAAAAATCTTAGATGAGGTTTCTCCAAAGAACTTTGTGAAGATTAATAAACATTTGAATGCAAAAGATCAAGAGATAGCAAAGCTGCAAGATGAAATCAGAATTATGTCTGCACATTGGAAATTAAAAACCAAGGAGCTTGAGTCGCAGGTATATCCCTTATCAAGATGAGCAGTATGGTTACCTGTACATGCCTAAAGTGTTATTTCCTTTTTTAGAGGAATTACTCATTAATTAGTTTTTACATGATTATGGGACAGTTAGAGAAACATCGAAGAGCTGATCAAGAATTGAAGAAAAGGGTATTGAAGTTAGAGTTCTGTCTTCAGGAAGCACGCTCTCAGACAAGGAAGCTCCAAAGGGTATTAACATGTCCTTACTCCTGTTATCTTATTCTTATTTTTTTTGGTGATAGCTTTCTTTGAACTACAATCTGTTTGTTTGAGTGCAAATCCAAGGTGGGTGCAAAACTTGTACATGGTTTAGATTTGCAGGCGCTTGTTTGTAGCTAGGATATGTACCTGTACCTTGGGTAAAATTAGCAATTTTAGCCTTTTCCATATTTATTCGAAATGCAAATTTTGCAATCCAAAAATCCATCAACTGAGGAACATTTTAATTTTTAAGATATGTGCCTTGCTTGAATCCAGGTGTAGCTCCTATCAAGAGGAGCATGCCAAGGTTGAGTTACATGGCAAGTTGGCAACCCGGACACATCCCTTTATAAATTTGCATTTTTTAGTTACTTTTTGTGTGCATTGTTTTATGTTTTCAAACTTTAGTTTATTAACTTTCAAATGAACTTTTATTGGTGTATGTGCACTAATAACAATCCACTAACTTTTAAAAAACTTGAAACTCTTGTTGCGAATAGAATCTCAGGTAGCAAAAGTTCCACCAAAGAAATAACAAGAATACAACTGAATGACTGATCTTTGATCCCTAATCCTAAAATAGAATGAACTGCAACCAAATTACCGAAACCTCAAAACCAGCATATTTTTATATATGGGCATAAAATTTGGGGCCAATGGCTCTTCACCTCCGTGAATGCCCCAATCTTGAATCTCCTAGGATTAGGAAAGCATGCTAACTACTTGAAATGTTGTAACTAGGTGATGGACAAACATGTTGAGAATTTAGATGGTCAAATTGTTGAGTGCTTGAAGCATTTTGGTATTATCCATGTTTGTTTGCTTTGAATTTTAATTGGTTCTATATATTGTTTTTATTTTAATTTGAGTTAATAGGTCTTTGGCTTCTTGTTTGCTGATGATATTGTTTTAATTGATAAAACTAATGAGGATTAAATGCAAAATTAAGTTTATGGATGAATGCCTCAGAAACAAGAAGTTTTAAAATAAGTAGGATCAGCACAAAATACTTGTTTGCTGATGATATTGTTTTAATTGATAAATTTAATGAGGATTAAATGCAAAATTAAGTTTATGGATGAATGCCTTAGAAACAAGAAGTTTTAAAATAAGTAGGAGCAGCACAAAATATATGCAATGTAAATTTAATAATAATAAGGCATGCTTAGGATAGGAGACCAAGAAATAACTCAATATTGACCCATAAAATGGACGAAATGGAAGGGTGCACCTGGAGCTTTCTGTGATAGGTAAATACCATTTAGATTAAAAGTAAAGTTCTATACAACAATTGAATGACCAGCAATATGGATCAAAGTATTGAGCAGTCAAGAAACATGTCCACAAAATAATTGCGGCAGGAATGCATATGTTGAGATGGATGAGTGAAAAAATTAGAAATGGTAGGGTCAGAAATGAACTAATGAAGTCAATTTTAGGAACCTAGGAGTAGTTCCAATAAGTGATAAAATGACAAAAGGTAGACTTGATGGTTTAGTCACATGCATAGATGACCACCTACAACACTTACAAGAAAAAGCGATTAGTTACCAATTGAAGGGGCTAGGGTCAGACCAACTGTTCGAGTAGTAAGAAATGATCTAAGCATTCATGATTTAACAGTGGATAATGACATTAAACAAACCGGAATGGCAAAACAGGATCCATATAGCCAATCCCTTATGGTTGGGTTAAAGCTTATATGATGATGAGGTTTTCTTGAGAACTTCTATTTTTTTTTTTAATTCAGATTTTCATATTTTAATGTACTAAATACCTTTTTTCAAAATTTTTGAGAATATTTCAAAACTTGTGCCTCGGGCTCTACAGTGCCCTCGCAATTTTTTGGTGCCTCTGTTGTTTAGAACACTTTTTGTACAACCCTCATTCCACTTGAAATCTCTCTCATATTAGTGGCAACCACATTATTTTACTTTTATTTTACTCTTCCCAAGAAACAAAGGCAAAGTAAAACCTGAAGCAAAGAACCATCATTTGCAATCCCCAATTGCTCTCCCATGCATTTACACCTGTTCAAGTGAAATTTCCCTACTGAATATTTTTTTTGATCAGCAAAGGTGATTTTATTAAGAAAAATGAGATGAGAATTAATACAGAAATTGAGTAGCCTCGGCTACCCCATTAGACTTTAATATTTCCACCTAAGATTTTGTTTTACAGCCTTACAACTGAGCCCAAAAAACAATGTTCCCTATTAGCCCCTTGCTTCGCTAGCTGGTCCGCAAACCCATTTGCTGCTTTTGGAGTCCACTGAAATAATAACTATATGTCCTTGGTAATGTGATTAGGTTTCTTGATCTCATTTCTTAACACCCATGGAGTCTTTCCATTTTGCTATAGTCAGCTTATAATTACTTTGGAATCGCCTTCTACAACCAGCTTTCTCACACCTATTTCTATGGCTTTTTGTATTCCAAAGACCACTGCTTTTACTTCAGCTGTAATGGAGTCTCCCCATCCAATAGGGCCCGAATACAGCCCCACTACTTTCCCCACCAATTCCAGCCACACCAGGGTTGCCAAAGCTACTCCCATCAAAGTTTAATTTGAGGAATCCAGATTCAGGAGGATCCCAATTTCTTAAAACCTTCTTTTTTGCTGATGACGAGGATGCTACAGTCCTCCAATTCCTGATTATATCATCCGCAGTAATGTCTGAGAATAATCCCATAGATTTTACCCATGAGATCACTTTTATCATACCCCTTCTATTAGTAATTCCTTACACCTTTTCTTTCCTTAAAAAATTCTCAGATTTCTTTCCTCCCATAACATCCAAAGCACTACTGCCCGTGTGCATCTCCACAGAGTTCTTCCTCTTTTTGGCCACCTGAAAGTGGAGGCGCCAAACATTCTTTCCAAGCTCACTGGGGTATCCCACCTGCATCCAAAGAGAGAAAAGAACCATTCCCAAATGCAGCTAGCAACAGGACAGGAAACAATATATGATGAGCAGTTTCACCATTTGATTCACACAAGCAGCACCAATTGGGTGAAAGGCACCATCCAGGCCTCTTTCTCTGCATCAAAAACCCCTTCCCTATGGTACCATTACTTTTATTCCACCCTTGCCCTAATTTCTCTACTTTGTTTGTCTGTAGTCCTCTAATTCTTAATGCTTCTATTAATTATGTGAGAAATAAGATGGTAATTCTTCTATTGCAGAATGAGCCCAAAGAAAATTGCGTCCAAACAGTGCCATGTTCGGTGTCACTCTACACCGGTCTTCCCTCTAGTTTTACCATTTTAAACTTTTTAATTTTTTATTAGTCTCTTATTTGTACGTTTGAAATAGGGAAGGTTATTCTGATAGGGTTGAAATAGAGGATGTTGATTTTCAGATTTGGCATGCTGGATGTTTTAGTACCTTATTTGGACAATTATCTCAGATTAATTCTCTTTGGCAGATGGGAGAGAGGAGAGACAAGGCTCTGAAAGAACTCAGGGATCAGTTGGCTACAAAACAGGGAGAGAATGCAGTAAACGGCAAACAAAATTTCTGGGAGAGCTCTGGCTTCAAGATTGTAGTTTCCATGTCAATGTTGATCCTGGTGGTTTTTGCAAAACGGTAAAATTAATTATTTACTTTAGTAGCTATTTAGTGTAAAGGAATTTAGAGATACAGTTTTACAAATATTAAATTTTACTGAGACAAGATAAGGTATTTGGCGAAGTGTTGTGTTTTGTATAGTCTGCAGTGGCTGTCATATACCTTTAGCAGAAACCAAATTTCAATGTTTACATGGAGTAGTTGTCTATCCAACTAGTGAAAATGAAGATGTAATTTTTTGCTCCAGTTTCTTAGTGGGGCTTCTAAAAGGTGTCCATTGAATATCTTCTATGGTTGATATTCCTGGAGGACACATTCACAATAATCTTCTATACACCAAATAAATTAGGTTAATTTTAAGTAGCATCTCTCGGATGTAGTCTTATAGATAATCCAGAACAATCTATCTATTGGGTAGGTTTCATGTTTATTTGTCACGTGAATAATTTCATTTACTTTTAATGGAAAACTAAATTGGAGTTAATAGAAAAAATGAATACGAGCTAGTTTCCTGAAAGCTGTAACTGACTTTATTGACTCTTAACAAGTGGAAATTTTAGATGCTGTGGCCTCTTTCTCTCAGATATAATGGAAAACTGTAATGGCACCATAGCAGCATTTCACTGCAGTTGGCATCCAAATGTTGCGTTGGTATTTTGATCTATGGACTTCTGTTGGATGCTCATTGTGCCCTCTTATACTCAGAAGTCAGAACTATGCGTTTTCCCATCCTGAAGATTGCTTGTTGAGCATCGTGGAAGATGGAATGGTGAACCAACTGCTCCAATGGTGCAAACTGCCAAGACAGGTCACAGGGCGATCTTTCATGTAATTGATCAAAATTGTACTCCATGCGGGTGCAAAACACCACGGATACTAGTACTGGAAAGGAAAGAGAGCTTAAGATTCTTTGATGATACGCATCTCTTGCTTGAAAATTGCATTACTGGAATATACAAGCATGGTATTTCAACAAGTCTACGATTATTTACGACACTAAGCACTAGGTACTAAAAGAACTGTATCCAGTTTCTATTGTCCAATGCAAAAGCTGTACAATAAACCAAAGTTGCCTAGTTTATGATCCTTGGAACCCTGAAGGCCTGGCCTGCGGTTACAATTAAGGAGAGTATTTACATTCTCATCGTTAGTGTCACAAAGATGATGGGCATTACCAATATGATATATCCAACTTGTGGCTGCAAAGTCACTGAGATGGACACCGATGTGCTGCTTCCGGGAGGTGGTTGGGTTCCAAAAATTGTTGTAGCTGTAGCAGGGTTGCTCGTGCCAAACACTGGTGCTGGTGAATTAGAGCTGGAAATTGATAATTTGGGGAGATGAATTACTAACCAAAAGAAAGATTGAACTGATTCTAATCACAACAGTTTCAGAGTAGTTTACCTTGTTGCTGGTGGAGATGATAATGATGATGATGATGATGATGTGGGTGTGGATGTTGATGGGTAGACACAAGAACCAATACCTGCTTGTCAGAAAATGTATATGATGATATCAGTATTCATTCTGGGCAGCAAATATTTGCCATCTTTTCACCCACTTGCATGTAATAGATAGGAAACAGGGGTCAAATTGTGCTTTTACTTGGATTGGTGTTAACAATCACAGCAGTTCCTCCAAAGTCGCAACTGGACGGCACTGGATTCTTCTGGAAGTAACTGTTAAATGCATAAGAAGCATGGTTTTGTAGAGTGTTTGGATTGTAGCAGCTTTCTGTAGGTTGGATTGCCGAACAGTCTGCTCCTCCAATACCACACGCATAGTCCAGTGCATTTTGTAGCGCATTCTGCAATATCCCACTCTTGGCTATGCACCAACTCTGCCCTGGAATAATTGGTGCACCTGTTGTGGCTGGAGCCGCTGGGTTTGTGGTGGGTGTGGTTACAGGCGTTGTGACAGGAATGCTGCCGGGCGGTGATACTGGATAAGTAGTCACTGGGTTGGTTATTATCGGTGTTGTGGGACTGGGAGTTGTTATAGGGGTCGTAACTGGATTCGTTATTGGCACCGTTGCAGGTGGATTTACAGGGTTTACGGATGGAACAGTGACCGGTGTGGTGGAGGGAACTGTCACTGGAGTGGTTGCAGGATTTGTTGGCGTTATGGTAACTGGGTTTGTAGAAGGCACTGTAACAATCGTCGGTGTGGGATTTGTAGGGAGAGTGGCCGCTGGTGAGCTGATCACATCATGTTCATATAGGGTTGTTCTTGTTGAGATGGGTTTTTGTTTCATGTCGTGGAGTTTGTGGGAGGAGGCAAGCATCTGTTCCTCTTCGTTGTTGAGCTGTTTCTTCTCGGATTTTACCATCGGAGAGATCTGTGCAAATAGCCCAGACACACTACCTTTGGCCTCAGTGTTACTTTCTATATATCTCATAATCGTACTGGAAAATTCAGAGACGTCTACTGCATTAGAAACGACAGAACTACTAACAGTCAACCAAGGGAACGTCACTGTAATAAAGAGCAGTAGAGACATTTATAACCCTCTCAATCACCAGTTGGGTAATCCGTTCTCCCATGTTCAACTCTCCATTAATTACAGTCTCTATGACCATAAAGGACTTGGATTTTCTAAGAAAATTGACAATCTCATGTAGATCTCCTGCCTCCTGTTTTTTGTTGATGTTCTCTAAGAATGACAACGACAAGGAAACTGAGACCTTTACTTGACTCTCGAGGGCGAAGCTAGTGAGGATTGAATGGATGGAGTTCAAGGTGGGAAACAGCAAAGGCAACTGAATCTGAGCTATTGAGTTATTACTGCTGGTGCCTAGTATGATGCTAGTGATGTTTACGTGCGGGAGAAAGGTCAGGAGGTTGGTTCTGAGCCACGACAGAGTTGAAGATTTGGATTTTCTCAGATGTTCAACCCGAGTTTCATTTAAGTAGAGATCAACGGGTACACCTGTGTCGGACAGTTCACCCAGAACACTGTGATCTGCCGCAAAAATTCTCTTCATATCAGATGGGAAGACCTTGTTTTCTTTGAGGAAGGATAATATTTCTTTAGGTGATGTAGTTGCACCTTCTCTCCTTGCATCGTAGGAGAAACCCACCAGAGTTTCTGAAGATTATTAAAACAGAAACAGATTAAAACATGCAAATAAAATTCGAAAAGATGCCTTTAGAGCAAATAGTGTAGTGAAAAAACACAAAAGAAAGTAATGAATCAATTCCCATTTCCCCCAAAAATTAAAAAAAGATTAAGAGGGTATTTATGCGATTTCTCATCTAAGAGAACCAGTCTGAAGAACTATTTTGAATCTAACACCCGGGTTTGATCTTCCTTCATTATGGCTCAAGTGGAGGAAAAAGACAACGTCTAAATGGTCATGAAGATGATTCCGCGTTTGAACAAAACAAAAAGAAGAATGCCCTAATTCATTTCTTTTTCCCTTGGGAGTTGCAAGTATGAAGTGCACTTACTCGAAAAACAGACGTTGAGGACAGAGAGGAGGAAGAGGAAGCTCGTAGAAACTCCAGCAGCCATTAATATTAGTGGTGGTTCTGAGTTCTGGAGGAGACCCAACTGGATATTTAATGTGATTTATGCAAAGATTGTGTTCGGAGGGCATTGCACTAAGCATTGCAATGAGAGAGAAAGAGAGCAGGGGTAAAGTGTTATACTGGATAAAGCTATGAGCAGAGAAAGAGGAGCTGCGGGAAGTAAAAAGAAAAAAAAAAAAAAAAGGTAAAGGAAAGCTGAATTTGTTGAAATTGTCGACGACAAAAGAGGTTACTTTGTCACGAAGGATGAGGCTGAGCCGCTGAGCTTTCTGTTCTGGTTCACCACTACTAGAATCAAGACTATCGCTTTTCTTTTCTTTTTTTGGATTGTTATAATTCAAAATGAAAGAGAGGGGATTAAAAAAAAAAAGAAAAAATTGAGGGTCCCCCATGTGACGAAGCCCTCTTTACACGTCAGATTGAAACCCAGTTAGCAAGTACACGTGGATTTGCTCTCGTGTTGGCGGTAATACGATGTAATGTTTTAAAAAATCGACCCGGAACCGAAGCCGGTGGCTGTGATTTGATCATCCGGTCCAAACAAACAGTTCTTTGCAATTAAAAAAAAAAAATAAAAAATCAATTAAAATAAAAAGGGTTAAAACGATTATCAGGTTGAGCGGATCAATAGTTTGATTGCCTGGATTAGCGGAATGCTGATCAAATCAACAGTTTTGGCATCGATATGTAAGCATCACATCAAAGAAAGTGGTGCTTCAAACAATGCCCTTTTGTTTGGTATCGTTTTTCCAGAAAAAAAAAAAAAAAAACGTTACTCCAAGCCATGTCTTGAAAATCAAGAAAGTGTGGTATGGAGTAACGTCAAATTCAATGTTTTTTGAGAAAATGACAAGTTACTGCCAACGGTGCAATGATGTGGCATCATTTAGGACGTTGGATAATATAGATCAATGCTGAAAATGTTGCTTCTAGCACTGGTATCAAACAAAACCAATGCTGTTTTCTCAGAAAACGCCTATATGGCAGCACCGGTTCCAAATAAAAAATAAGCACTACAATTCCACATACTTAACACCGATTTTATGAGAAAATGGTGTAATGTTTTTCAAGGGTTAAATGTAATTGGTTGCTTGGATGTTTTTTAGGTTAAATGTTCTAACCGTCTATATCACCCTTTGGTCAATTGTGATTCAAAAACCATGATATGATGTAACCACCCATTGCTTGAGGAAGAGCGATCCATCTCTGAATCCTCACTCATATTTCTTTTGGCGGGCTGTATTGTTCATTTTCATGTTTTGAAAAGAAGAGTTCTATAATATCCTCTATAACATGTTTGGAATAATGTTAAATAGAATTTTTTTGAAGGCTTAAAACATAGTTCATTCATTCAAGAAATTAATGCAATTACAAAGAATTGCCAACAAGGCCAATCAGAACTCAGATACAATTTCTCAAAAAGAATAAAATATATAAATGGATGAAAGAGAACATAAAAAACTTTTACAATCAAATAATGGTGAATTAAAATCACTAACAGAAGTAGATAAGCACAACACCAATCCACCACAAATGGCGAGAGAAATGACAAAAGAGGTTCCCAAAAGATATTGCAAAGAGCTGGTAATAGTATAGTTGGGGTAAATCCGCAAAAGATGGTAGAGCCCCAAATATTACAACCGCTACTAGAGATTGTAACTGCCTTTCATAACTGCATCTGCCGAAAAATGGCGAATGGAACTGATCATGAATTGCATCCACCGGTATCAAATGCCTAATACAGGATCCAAGAGAAAGAAACCCCCTTGTCAAAATACCTGCAAAAAGAAGAAAAAAAAAGCACAAAAGAGGCAAATAATGGAGAGAACCAAATGGGAAAGGTGAGGGAAATAGATGGGAGGAAGAACAATGGGAAATAAAACAGTGGGAAGAATGGAGAGAACCAGATGGGAAAGGTGAGGGAAATAGATGGGAGGAAGAACAATGGGAAGAATGGAGAGAACCGGATGGGAGGAAGAATGAAGAATGAAAGCAGGGGAGGAGGGAAGAAAAGGAACAACAGAAAGAGAAAAAGAAACAAGAAAAAAGAAAGAGAGGATAATAGAAAGGGGGACTCCCCAAAGGGAACCATCCCAATAGAAGATTGATAAAACCTTGAGAAACTCGAGGGAGAGGGAATAGTTTTGTGATTTGCAAGTAAAAGGAACGGTTTCATGAATTACAGAGAGGGAATGAGTTCGGATCTGCGCCCCACAACGTCCCACAACGCATCCCCACCTTGTATTGGAAAGATCTCCCGATGATGACATCATCGGGTCTGGTATATCATTCGGAGATGTTCCTAATACACAGCGCGGGGATGCGCTGTGGGACATTGTGGGGTGCAGATGTGAACGGTCACACGCACCAAAAGTTAGGATCGTTAAACAGAAA